AGTTTATACGTTTCCGGTGTTAAAAATTTAAAAAAAATGGCGAGAAAAAATTTTTTTTTTCATATTTCAAATATCGAATTTATAATTTTTATTATTTTTCAAACGATTTGGGTATTTGCAACTACTCTACCGATACTTTTGATAAATTCTTTAAAAAATTTATTTGTAAAAAAGGAAAAAAATATCAAAGGACAAACAGTTTTGGTACGTAAATAAAATAATTTAAAAAAAAAAAAAAAAACATTTTGCTACAATTAATTTTTTGCTATCAGATAACGGGTTCCGCAAGAGGTTTGGGAAAAGCTCTCGCTTTTGAATTTGCTAAAAACGGTTGCCGAAAAATAATTTGCGTTGATGTAAACGAATCGTTGAATGAAAAAACCGTTGATGAAATTAATGAAAAATATAAACAATCTCCCATAACCGCCGTGAATTTCCGTTGTGACGTCAGCCGTTTGGACGACATTAAAAACCTTTGCACAAAACTTTACGAGAAATACGAAACAATCGATATTATCGTTAATAATGCCGGAATCGTTTATGGTAAACCACTTCCAAACGAACAAGAAGACATTGTGGAAAAAGTTCTTCGTGTTAATTTTATGTCGTGCTATTGGGTAAAACAATCATCATCATCATCACTACCCAAAATGAATTCTCTCTATTAATTATTATTATTATTATTACAGTTTGCACATACGTTTTTACCAATGATGATGAGGAAACAACAAAATAAAGGTCATTTAGTTTTCATTAACTCCCTGTCTTCTCTAATACCTTTGGGTGATGCCACAATGTACACATCGACAAAATATGGTCTTTTGGGTAATTTGATCGTTATATACAAACAAACATAGCAAATCTGCATTCAAATTTTTCATCAAATTTTTAGCAATGATGATGATGATGATAAAATTATAATTTTTAACGAGCAGGTTTGACGGATGCTCTCATAGATGAATTCAGTCGGAATCCGATCATGTCGAAAATTAAAATTTCATCCGTTCATCCATTTTTCATCGATACGGAAGGTTTAAACGGTATGAAAATATCACCTAAATTCATAACCATAAAAACAAAATTAGCAGCGAGATTGATCGTGAATGGTATTAAAAAAGAATATGTTAAATTTACCGTACCGGGTAACGAATTCGTCTACTGGTGTTTGTCACTCTCCAAGTGAGTACTCACACAGATACCTTAAAAATTTTCATCATCATCATCATCATCGTTTCTAACTTATCATCATTATTATTTTCTTTTAAGGGTGATTCCAGTTTCGATTTATCAAAAAATTATCAATAAAATATATAAGAAAGTCATGAATTGATATTATTATTATTATTATTGAGTAATAATAATAAAATTCGCAAAACCATTCACTGATAAGAGTTATCAACAGTTTGACGTCATTAATAATAATTTATAAATTTAATTAAACTAATTATCAATCAATCAATCAATCAATCAATAATTTGTATTTTTGCTTTATTTTGAAACAAAAATTAAATTAAATTAAATAAATAATTTCAAAAAAATATATATATATATATGAAATTTGTATTTTTTTAAATTCGCTCCTCCCCTTCCCTCTCTCCTCCTCCTCCTCCGACATATCCCCTCCCTTTCTCCTCCCTCTCCCCCTCCCTCCCTCAAAGGAGTTTCTATTCTATATCACGTAGTAAACAAAGAAAAAAAAAAAAAAAGTGAGAAACGCCAGCGTTAACGTTATAGTAATTCAAAACTAACCTAAAAAATTTATTCTTAGCGATTGTATTCTTCTCTCTCTTTTTTTTTTTTTTAAAATATACAATCAATTCTTTTACTGTAACAATATTATACTATGTTTCATTTACTGTTATAAATCACCTTCGAAAAAGAAAATAAAAAAAAAATTGTAAAAACCAAAAAAGTAAAATTTCATTCGTTAAAACGTTATTTTATATGTAATGACGTCATAAAAATATCTTACCCATATTTTGGTAAATTCGATTATTCGATGAGACGATAATAATAAACGTTATTTAACGATCTACTTCTCCGAAAACTATATCTAACGTTCCGATAATGGCGACGATATCGGCAAGGAATAAACCTTTTCCGATTTTATCCAAAGCTGCTAAATGTGCAAAACCTGGAGCTTTGATTTTACACCTGTACGGTTTCGAACTTCCATCCGATACTAGATAAACTCCGAATTCCCCTGAAAAATCAACAACACGTTATATAATCGCACACGCACGAACGCAGTCACGCACCCACACGCACGTACGCACCTTTAGGAGCTTCGATTGCCGTATAAGTTGCACCCGGGGGAACCGTGTAACCTTGAGAAAATAATTTAAAATGATGTATAACGGCTTCCATG